TCTCTACCTGCACTCATGTATCGTCATCCCACCTACCTTCTCCACCCCCACCCTTCCTTTCTCTATTTACTTCTGAGCTCCCTTCCCCCTCCCAATTTCTGAAGAAGGGTCCCAATCTGAAACATCAACTTTCCTTGCTCCTCTGATGTTGCTTGGCCTGCTGTGTTCCTCCAGCTCCACACTGTATTATCTCTGACTCCAGCATCTGCAGTTCTTACTAACTCTGAGTAAGGCAGCATGGTGCTCTGTTTACAGGTCAATCCCCCTACTTCCCCATTTCTGGGTAGTGAATAAAATCCATCCCCTGCGTTAATGCTTATTTCTAACTCTCATTCGTTAGAACTAAAGCCTGCTTTGTTCCAAGGTATAAAACTATAAAGATTTCTTTAACAAGTGTTTCTTGAAATTTATCATATACCTTAAATGGCAAAATGTCATGAAATACTTAGAGCTGGAAGCATTCTTTGATTTTTTTTCTTTTACTTGCGAAGCTTTCTAAGATGTAAGAAAAATAGGCTGTCCTGTGTCTGCTCTGCCATTCAGTAAGATCATGTCTGCTCATCTACTTCAGCTAACCCTTTACATTGCCCCCCCATTCCTTGAATCCCTTAGTATCCAAAAATGATATGTCTTGAGCATTCTAAATTAATATTTTAACACTATTGAGAATGTTTGTTTCAAGAACTGTATGTGCATGGTATTTAAGACATTTAACCCATATTTTAAATAGGCTAACACTGCTATTAAAATAACATTGTACATAAGAATGTGTTAACCTTTTTTATGTTAATCTTTGCAATGTAATTTTGCATTGAATCATCTTGCAACTGCAAATCCCAATCTGCAGCCTTTGTTCATGTGAACTGTTCCATTTTAGCAGCCTTGCAGATTACACTGCAGGACCCAAAACAGCAGTATTTCACATGCAGTCTGTCATTTTTAAAGGTCAAAGCCAGCTGTTATATGTTGTTGCTTTCAATAGAAATTTTAAAATGAGCAGCATTAATTTTGTTCATTTTATTTGTAATGCTGTTAATCACTGATACTTAAAATTAATTATTCACCTCAAAATTACCGATATATAAGTGAACGGAAGGGAGCTACAGGCCTGTAATAAAAATCAAGATAGCGTTGCAATGATTTCACAAGGTTTCATGCTGACACAAAAGCTTCAAACAGATGAGTCCTTTACACACCTTTCTTTTGCTCAAATGTAAAAATACTTTTTTAAGTGTTGACTTCCGAACAAATCCTGAATTAGAAAAGAGAACACATACCTTTCTGACAATAGGAGCAGTAGGGTGTTCTTGTAATAGGAAATACTGTAAAGTGCTCTGTAAATCTTGTAGCCTGTTGTTGATGACTGGAGGGTGGATCTTGTCTGTTATTGGCCAGGAATGGTGTATCTTAATTTATATTGACTCTTGCAGTATGTTTTCAAAACTGTATATTCTTCAGGTTAGAAAGCTCCAGTTTTCTTCTACCAATCTCTGCTACTTTTCATTCTGTATATTCCATCATCTCATCTTTTCCACTTGTATGTCTAGTCCTTGTTTTTTCATCTCGTCTTATAATTCTCTGATACATTCTTTCTCTGCAATTTCACTGTTGTTTAATTCTTACTCTTTTAATGACATTTTTCACACATGTTCACTTATCCTTTGCATGAACAGTGGTAGGCAATTCATTTTTAAAGTCTCTTCTTGATTCCTTAACTCTTCATACTCGTGCTCTTGAACATAGGAGCAGGAAGAGCCTTTTTAATCACTTATTTATGGTCACCAATCAGTGAGATCATGGCTGATCTGTGACCTATCTGACAGATTTAAAATTAAAAATTGATCTAGCATTAATTGCTTTTGTGTTTGGGTAATATATTGCCCTGGATAGAGGATTGACTATTAGAAGACAAAGCCAGCGTAAAGAAGTAGTGATTGCTGGGGGTGGGGTGCAAAATGCATTTTCAGGATGGCAGTCTATAACTAATGGAGTTTCACACTGAACAGTGCTGGGAACACAATTATTTATAACACAGGTAGTTCTCCTATAATGCGATAGTTGCATTCTTGCGTAACCTTGTGCTATAGAAAATCAGAAAGAATAAAATAGCTGAATTTTATTTAAATTGAGAAATGCTGTAAAAAGTCAGAGAGAGGGATTTCGGGGTTCTAGTGCATGAATCACAAAAAGCCAGCATTCAGGTCAGTGGGTAATAGGAAGGGAAATGGGATGTTGGCCTTTATTTCATAAGGGAATTGCGTAACAAATTAAGAGGTTCCCCCCTACTCCAACTATCGCAGTGAAACTGACTGGTCTGTAATTGCTGGACTTATCTTTGCACTCTTTTCCATCTATCTCTGCTCATATTTAACCTTTTAGAGTCCAGCATCACTGTGATAAATCTATTTGCATTCCTTCCAGGGCCAATATATGCTTCTCTAGACATGGTGCCCAGAACTTATAACATAGAAAATAAGAATAAGAGGAAGCAATTCTGCCTTTTGAGACTACTGTTCCATTCAGTATGATCATGGCTGATCATCCAATTCAGTATGGTGTTACACTTTCACTCCATAACTTTTGATTCTTTGAGCCTTGAGAATTGTGTCTGTCTGTCTTGAAATCGTTCAACGTTTGGTCTCAACCACTTTCTCTGGCAGAGAATTCCACAGGCTAACCTGTCTGGGTGAAGGTATTTCTCCTTTTCTGTCCTAAATGATCTACCCATAACCTTAGACCATGATTCCTGATCATTGGGAGCATCCTTCCTGTGTTTATCCTGTCAAGTCAAGTTTCTATGAGATCCGTCCCTCATCCTTCAAAACTCCAGTCAATCCAGTCTCTCTCTGTTCATACATAGGCCAACCATTCCAGGAATTGACCTGGTAAACCTCCATTACAATCCTTTCATAGCCAGAACATCCTTCTTCAGATAGGCATTGCAAAACTGTACTTGATACTCCAGATGTGGTCTCACCTAGGCCCTGTATAACAGTGACAAGTCAGCCGTAGTCCTGCATTTGAATTCTCTCGCAATGGCAGCCAAGATACGTTTGCCTTCTTTGCTGCCAGCTGCACCTTCTTGCTTACTTTCAGCAATTATTGTAAAAGGGCATCCAGTATCATTGCACCTCCCCTTTCCTAATCTTTTGCCATTCAGATAATCTGCCTTCCTGCTTTTGTTACCAAAGTGGATAACTTCACATTTGTTTCCATTATACTTGATCTTCCATGGATTTGCCCATGCACTGAACATTTTCAAATTACTCTGAAGTATGTCTGCATCCTCCTTACAGTTCACCGTTACCCCCAACTTGTATCATCTGCAGATTTGGAGATATTATATTTAGTTACTTGATCCAAATCATCCAAGCACTAATACCTGCAGCACCTTGCTATCTGCCTCTCTGAAAATGACCCATTTATTCCTACTAGGATAACAAGGTGTAGAGCTGGATGAACACAGCAGGCCAAGCAGCATCAGAGGAGCAGGAAGGCTGATGTTTC